CTCTCTTGTTCTTTCAGTACACTACCTAGCTCTCTTGTTCTGTCAGTACACTACCTAGCTCTCTTGTTCTGTGAGTACACTACCTAGCTCTCTTGTTCTTTCAGTACACTACCTAGCTCTCTTGTTCTGTCAGTACACTACCTAGCTCTCTTGTTCTGTGAGTACACTACCTAGCTCTCTTGTTCTTTCAGTACACTACCTAGCTCTCTTGTTCTGTCAGTACAATACCTAGCTCTCTTGTTATGTCAGTACACTACCTAGCTCACTTGTTCTGTCAGTACACTACCTAGCTCTCTTGTTCTGTCAGTACACTACCAAGCTCTCTTGTCCTGTCAGTACACTACCTAGCTCTCTTGTACTGTCAGTACACTACCTAGCTCTCTTGTTCTTAGCTAGCTCTCTTGTTCTGTACACTACCTGTCTTGTTCTGGCAGTACACTAACTAGCTCTCTTGTTCTGTCAGTACACTAACTGGTTCTCTTGTTATGTTAGTACACTACATAGCTCTCTTGTTTTGTCAGTACACTACATAGATAAAGATAGATTGCGCAGAAGACGACATTTTTCATCTTAAAAGATATAAATGTACAGAGATGTTTTAAAGATATTCCTATTATATAGATTAACTAGGTCGGTTGTGAACATGGCTGTTCTTATGTCATTGAGTACTTGTGGTGTACATGAGTTCTGTAAAAAGAAATTTAAGTTAGTTTAGTCCTTCTCATGTCCTTCTTCAGTTCTCGTCAATGTGATATATTGCTCAGTGAAATAATTTGATATTCTCAAAAGAAAATTCACTCCTGAGTGGTTTAATAATTATGAAATCCATTAAAACACCAAACCACCCGCTTATCATTGAAGTACACTTTGACCCCTAGAAGTATTAGTTCGCGGACTGTACAATTCTTAGTGATTTTGCGTACATAAGCTATCTATGTTTATTTATTTATCTATGGTACACTACCTAGCTCTCTTCTTCTGTCCGTACACTAACTAGCTCTCTTGTTCTGTACACTACCAGTCTTGTCTATACAATCTATGGATCTGAACCAAAACATAAAGTAATGATTGCGTGCGCAGTAGGAACAGCCTCAAGCTCAGGTTTAAACATAAAAGATCAAAACTTGGAGGTGACAGGGACTTAAAGTAGTTGTAGAAGGGGGCGTTGGGGGGAGGAGGATTGCCACCGAAGAAATAAAATATATACAAATTCAAAATATGTTTGGATCAGTTTTTTAACATGATTGTTTTTTCTCTTTTCCTTTTTCCAAAAATTTTGCATGCTAATATTTGAAAATGGCCGTTTTTTAGTATTAGTCGATTGATTGTTAAGTTT